ATTTCTTTTAAAAAGGAAAACATGGAATGACTTCCTCATTTTAAGACCCAAACACACACAAAAAACCCTTGTTAGGTGAGGTGAGGGTGGCACCTCCTCCAGTTGGGGGGTGGTGAATGACAGGGGTTTTACTCAAAACATCTTGTCAGAGATTTACAGTGAATCCTGTAGGGTGGAATCCTTTACCCATGTTCATTCTGGCTTTTTCTTTCTTTAATACCTTTGTCGTTGGAACCCAAGCAGAATTTGCAGCTTCAAAAGTGCAGGTTTTCCCTTCTGACAGATTCCAGCAGGAAATCACTCCCAAAGCCCCAACACTGATCGTCCCCTCATGTGCTTGTGGGAGGAGATTGCACTGAGATGTTGTTGCAGAGGATAAAATCCTCTTTCAGCTGCTCTGGCACTGTTATCCTGGGTTTATGTGTCTGTTCTTTGCAGTGTTTATGGGAAGAGTGAGGATGGGAATGAATTCAACGATGCCATTCGCAAACTCTTCCTGTCCTTCAACATCCTCATGGACCGGCCTCTGGAGGAGGCTGTGAAGATCAAGGTGAGCAAGATTTGCAGGGAGAAGTAATAATATCTTGTATTAGATCAGCTCATGCAGTTGGGAGGGAGCTGGGCCAGGAAAAGGAACAGGCTTTGAGGAATGTAAAACCCCTTCAAGGCGAGTCACCCCTCAGAGTGTCTGTTTTAATGAGCTGTGTGTGGGGCAGGAAAGAGATATTTAAAGCCAAAAGTTTATCAAAGAAAAAGAGCAGCATCCCTTCAGCATCTCCTGAGATAAGAGCTACCACCTGCCCCAGGGGGGGAAGGCACTTCAACCAAGCTCGAGGCTGATGGAGGTACAAATGTACAACTACTGCAAAAATCCCTTGAGGGTGGTGGAGGTACAAATGTACAACTACTACAAAAATCCATGTAATGCTGGGAATTAAAGCAGTGAAAAAACCAGATGGTCTCTAAATGTATCTTAGATCTTGTACCTGCTGGTTTTTCTGGTGTCAGCAGGATGATGAACCTTGTGCTGGTGCTCTGAGGAGGAGCAGAGCAGTGAGGCTGCTGAGTTGCTGAAGGCAGCGAGGCCTGGAGATTCCTTGCTTTATTTCCACTCTCCCATGCCTTTTATTTGAAGGAAAGAGTGACTCTGAACTTTTAATTAGCTCTGGGGTGATTTAAAGCCTGAGTGTGATTCTCAGGCAGTCAGAGTAGCTGCTGGCAGCAGCTCCAGAACATCCCAGAGACCTGCAATCAGAGTTGTCTGGATGCTATGTTTATGAAAGCCTTCCTGCTGCCTGGATAACTTATTCCTGGGGATGTGGATGTGCTAAACGGTGCAGAACAGAGCCAATTTACCTGCCCAGTGCTTTTTATGTCAGGCAATAAGGTGCTTAACCCCTGGAACTGCAGGATGTCTGCAAAAAAGGAAAGAACTTGGCCATGAATCCTTCCTCCCTCACCTTGCCAGCTCTGCACTGCACGTGTGGGCTTGTTGGAGGCTCTTTGAAAGCATAAATTTGATTTTGAGCCATTTCCCTGCAGTTGTCCCCATATTTGCTCTTGACAAAGACTGGATGTGCCACCTGTGTTTCACGTCCTTGGGTTTTTTCTTGCAGGGGGCAGCTCTGAAGTATTTGCCAAGCATCATAAATGATGTCAAACTGGTGTTCGACCCCGTTGAGCTCAGGTAACTCTATTAAGTTTGTCCTCTAAACCCAGCTCAGCTGGGTGGGAAGAATTTTGGGCACTTTGCTTCAAAACAACCACTCCAGTTGTGAGCTGATGGTGCAGGTGCTGTGCAGGGATTGGAGGAAGTGCTTGCAGGGTTTTAAAGGATGTGGTTAAAAGGGTTCTGTGCATCTCAGCTTCTTGTTCTGGAGGTTGGAGCAAGGTTGGAGCAAGCTGGGCTAGGGGAAGGTGTCCCTGCCTGTGGCAGGAGGTGGAACAAGGAGAGTTTTAAGGTCCCTTCCAACCCAAAGCATCCTGGGATCCTGTGTTTCTTACAGACACCTTGAGTTTTGCTGAAAACCAACCCTGGAGGACTGTGCAGTGAGATGTTGAAATGTTGTGCAGGTTTCCACCAGTTCTTAGTGGTTGTTCCTCAGGTGAATTGAAACACGTGGCAAAGGCAGAGCCTTGGTTAGGGAAACAAAGCTGGATTTATTCAGGGAATCCACAACCCTGTGGATTCCTGTTCTTTGGTGTTCCCAGCTTTGCCCAGAACTGCCCATCCCTTGTGTCTCCTCGTGCTGACACAAATAATTTGCTCGGGAGCAGCAGACAGACAGCAAATGTCCATGGAATTGAATTTAATGGAATTTTGGACTGAAATGAGTCATCACTCTTGATGAAAGGGGCATCTGGAAGGATGTGCTTTTGCTGTTGTACATGGCTCAACTTTCAGCAGTGGGGCTGCTGGGTCTTTGCAAAATTCTGCTTTCATTTTGAGTGAAAAGCAAGTGTGATTCTCTTCTGCTGGCACTGCAGGGCAGAGAGTATTGTCTGTGTATAAATTTCTGTGATGTGTCTAGTCTGCCTTGGAATAAAAGCCTAATTTTAGTAGTTTTGAGCCTGCAGTTTCTGAATACTGCTCAATTTTACTTCAAGTGCTGTACTGAGTTTCTTAAAAATAAGTCAGAGCTGTGCAGTAATTTACCTGGAGACCACTTGGAGGTAACGTGTCCACACTGAGACAAACCTGCTTGGCTTCTTCCCTCTGAGGGTGGGGAGGCCCTGGCACAGGTTGCCCAGAGAAACTGTGGCTGCCCCTGGATCCCTGGAAGTGTCCAAGGCCAGGTTGGAGCAATCTGGGCTAGTGGAAGGTGTCCCTGCCTGTGGCAGGGGGTGGAATGAGATGATCTCATTTAAGGTCCCTCCCAACCCAAAGCATTCCACGATTCTGTGGCTTGCCCAGGTGCAGGATGGGGTGGCATTGGGTGGAAGCTCTGACCAGCTGTTCCCCCTGTGGTTTGCACACCAGTGTTCTCTTCAGCAAGTTTATCCAGAGCATTCCTGACAACCAGCTCGTCCGCCAGAAGCTGAACTGCCTGACCAAGATCGTGGAGAGTGACCTGTTCAGACAGGCTGGTGAGTGGCACAGGGAAGGCTTGGGGTTCTCCATGGGGCCACACAGCCTTAAAACCAGAAATGCCTTGTCAGTAACCAGTGCTAATCTACCATTAAATCCATTTTTGGAAATATCCCTTCCTGTGGAAGAACTGAAACGATTTTTGGCTGTTGGGTCTTTACACAATTCCCAGCGCTGTGGGGTCCTGGTGTAGAAAGAGGCAGAAGTTGAGTTTGCTATTTGGTGCAATATATATATATATAATTTAGAAATAAGAGGACGTGTTTAGATGGGATATTAGGGAGAAATTCTTCCCTGTGAGGCCCTGGCAGAGGCTGCCCAGAGAAGCTGTGGCTGCCCCATCCCTGGAAGTGCCCAAGGCCAGGTTGGATGGGGCTTGGAGCAACCTGGGCTCGTGGAAGGTGTCCCTGCCCATGGCAGGGGGTGGAACTGGATGATCATTAAGTCCATTCCATGACTAATTACAGGTTATTTGTGACTCTCTCATCTGTTAGTTGTAACCCAAGTGGTTTTAAGCACATTTTGGTGTCCAAGGTGAATTTGGGAGCAGAGAACTCCTGTGTGGTGCCCGTGTACCCTGAATGCTGAGGATCCTCCTGAGCATCCTCCTGAGCACTACTCCTGACGTGGTGCTGTCTCTGTCTCATCTTTCAGAGTGCAGAGATGCCCTTCTGCCCCTGCTGATCGACCAGCTGAGTGGGCAGCTGGATGACAATTCCCACAAGCCTGACCACGAGGCCAGTTCCCAGCTGCTGAGCAGCGTTCTGGAAGTGCTGGACAGGAAAGATGTGGTGAGCATCAACTCCCAAGGGTGCCACTTCTTCTTTGGAGTGGTTATGGTAAAAAAATTCATCTCAACTTATACTTTAAAGCATTAGGAAGTTGTGATGTTTACAGAAATGGTGTTGCACTGCCGGGGAGTTCTTTGTAGAACTGCGGGTTTTTTCTCTGTGTCTAAAAAGGAGCCAGGAAATGTTGAATTAGTCATTATCACACGGTACTAAAAGCCATTACTTCCCTTTCTAGGGGACAAAATGTTATCCCAGCTACTCTGGTGACTTGTTGAATAATTTGGAGCAAGTCATGGAAGTGTTTGGTTTCTGTGCAATGGGCACATGGCTCAGTCTGGGGAACACAGTTACTGCCCACAGTGGTCCTGGACATTGATTCTGAGTTGCTGGGGAAACACTGCTTTGACCTGAAGAGCTGTTCAGGGAAAACAAAGCCCAGTCAGAGCAGCAGGATGAGCTAATGAAGCTGGGCCAGATCAATGAACTGAGCTGCCCACAAGTGAACACCTCCAGCATTTGAATCGATCGCTCGAGGGCTTAAATCTCCTTTTTTTTTGCTTCCTCTAATGGCAATTAACCACTGTCAGGGCAGTCCCCCCGCCCAGGGAGCTCTCTCTGGTGTAATGTCCATTAAGAATGGTCTCTCATTTTGCTTTTTGCACCTCCCCAGGGCCCCACAGCTCTGCACATCCAGCTGATCATGGAGCGCCTGCTGAGGAGGATCAACCGCACGGTGATCGGGATGAGCCGCCAGTCCCCTCACATCGTGAGAGCCTTTCACTTCCTCACTTTTACCACTTTTTCAGGGTGGAATTTATTCCCCTGGGAGGTTTCAGCACATAGCAGTGATTTATGGAGTAATCTTTCCCTTTCCTGCAAGAATTCTGTGCCCTCACATGTGGCTTTGGGTAGTTTTGCTGAAGGGTTGGGGTACGAGGTGTCCTGCTCCAGCTGGGATAGGAGGTGTCCTGATCCAGCTGCACCTTGAACTGATTCACTGGGCTGTGATTTCCAGTCCCTTTGGGCCCTGGTGCATGGAGAAGTTGGTTTCAGTGCAGTTTCTAACTGCAGACACGAGGAGTCTGCTGAAAAAATGCTCCTTTTATCACCTTGGCTGAATGGGATTAAATACTGAGGGGTAACACATCCCTAAGGGGCATTTCTGACTGCTGGAGTACCTTAGAAGGTGTAAACACTTGGAATGCTTTAATTTTCCCTGTATTTCATGCCCAGAAAGGTGGAAAAAATCAAGAGCTGGGAATATGTCTTATTTTTGTTAGTATATTACCCATGGGAATTGCAGCTGGCTCTGCTAAACCTAAAACTCAGAGAATTGAGTTGGAAAAGACCCTGAAAATCAGAGAATGGGGTTGGAAAAGACCCTGAAAATCAGAGAATGGGGCTGGAGAAGACCCTGAAAATCAGAGAATGGGGC